ATTCTAAGTCCAAGAATGTAAAGGAATATGGCCAATGTAAAGCTTTTTGAAAATGCATTCTGTAAAATTTCACCTCGTTAGATCGTAAAATATTTTAAGTCCAAGAATGTAAAGGAATATCGCCAATGTAAAGGTAAAATGCATGCTATAAAATTTCGCTTCTATAGATCGTAAAATAATCTAAGTCCAAGAATGTAAAGGAATGTGGCCAATGTAAAGCTTTTTGAAAATGCATGCTATAAAAGTTCACAACTTTCAATCGCAAAATATTCTAAGTCCAAGAATGTAAAGGAAAATGGCAAATGTAAAGCTTTTTGAAAATGCATGCCATAAAATTTCACTTCTATAGATCGTAAAATAATCTAAGTCCAAGAATGTAAAGGAATGTGGCCAATGTAAAGCTTTTTGAAAATGCATGCTATAAAAGTTCACAACTTTCAATCGCAAAATATTCTAAGTCCAAGAATGTAAAGGAAAATGGCAAATGTAAAGCTTTTTGAAAATGCATGCCATAAAATTTCACTTCTATAGATCGTAAAATAATCTAAGTCCAAGAATGTAAAGGAATGTGGCCAATGTAAAGCTTTTTGAAAATGCATGTTTGAAAGTTCACAACTTTCAATCGCAAAATAATCTAAGTCCAAGAATATAATGGAATTTCGCCAATGTAAAGCTTTTTGAAAATGCCTGCATAAAAAGTTCATGACTTTGTTTCGTGAAATATTCTAAGTCCAAGAATGTAAAGGAAAATGGCCAATGTAAAGCTTTTTGAAAATACATGCCTTATGAGTTATCATAATATATCGTAAAATAATCTAAGTCCAAGAATGTAAAGGAATATGGCCAATGTAAAGCTTTTTGAAAATACATATCTTAAAATTTTTCAAGTTTACATCGTAAAATAATCTAAGTCCAAGAATGTAAAGGAAAATGGCCAATGTAAAGGTTTTTGAAAATGCATGCCATAAATTTCACTTTATACTTATAGATCGTAAAATAATCCAAGTCCAAGAATGTAAAGGAAAATGGCCATTGTATAGCTTTTTGAAAATGCATGCTCTAAAAGTTCACAACTTTCAATCGCAAAATAATCTAAGTCCAAGAATGTAATGGAATTTCGCCAATGTAAAGCTTTTTGAAAATGCCTGCATAAAAAGTTCACAACTTTGCTTCGTGAAATATTCAAAGTCCAAGAATGTAAAGGAAAATGGCCAATGTAAAGCTTTTTGAAAATGCATGCCATAAAATTTCACTTCTATACATGTAGATCGTAAAATAATCTAAGTCCAAAAATGTAATGGAAAATGGCCAATGTAAAGCTTTTTGAAAATGCATGCCATAAAATTTCGCTTTTATAGATCGTAAAATATTCTAAGAAAATGCATGCTATAAAAGTTCACAACTTTCAATCGCAAAATAATCTAAATTCAAGAATGTAATGGAATTTCGCCAATGTAAAGCTTTTTGAAAATACATGCCTTGAAAGTTATCAAATATTTCAATCGCAAAATAATCTAAGTCCAAGAATGTAATGGAATTTCACTAATGTAAAGCTTTTTGAAAATGCCTGCATAAAAGTTCACTAAGTCCAAGAATGTAAAGGAAAATGGCCAATGTAAAGCTTTTTGAAAATGCATGCCATAAAATTTCACTTCTATAGATCGTTAAATAATCTAAGTCCAAGAATGTAAAGGAATATGGCCAATGTAAAGCTTTTTGAAAATGCATGCTATAAAAGTTCACAACTTCCAATCGAAAAATAATCTAAGTCCAAGAATGTAATGGAATTTCGCCAATGTAAAGCTTTTTGAAAATGCCTGCATAAAAAGTTCACAACTTCAGATCGTAAAATATTCTAATTCCAAGAATGTAAAGGAATATGGCCAATGTAAAGCTTTTTGAAAATACATGCCTTGAAAGTTATCAAGTATATATAGTAAAATAATCTAAGTCCAAGAATGTAAAGGAATATCCCTAATGTAAAGGTTTTTGAAAATGCATGCTATAAAAGTTCAGAACTTTCAATCGCAAAATATTCTAGGTCCAAGAATGTAAAGTAAAATGGCCAATGTAAAGCTTTTTGAAAATGCATGCCATAAATTACACTTCTATATATCATAAAATAATCTAAGTCCAAGAATGTAAAGGAATATGGCCAATGTAAAGCTTTTTGAAAATGCATGCTTTAAAAGTTAACATCTTTCACTCGCAAAATATTCTAAGTCCAAGAATGTAAAGGAAAATGGCCAATGTAAAGCTTTTTGAAAATGCATGCCATAAATTTCAGTTCTCTATATCGTAAAATAATCTTAGTCCAAGAATGTAAAGGAAAATGGCCATTGTAAAGCTTTTTGAAAATGCATGCTATAAAAGTTCACAACTTTCAATCGCAAAATAATCTAAGTCCAAGAATGTAATGGAATTTCGCCAATGTAAAGCTTTCTGAAAATGCCTGCATAAAAAGTTCACAACTTTGCTTCGTGAAATATTCTAAGTCCAAGAATGTAAAGGAATATGGCCAATGTAAAGCTTTTTGAAAATGCATGCTGTAAAAGTTCACCTCTTCAGATCGTAAAATATTGTAAGTCCAAGAATGTAAAGGAATATGTCCAATGTAAAGCTATTTGAAATGCCTGATATAAAAGTTCACAACTTTCAATCGTAAAATAATCAAAGTCCAAGAATGTAATGGAATATCGCCAATGTAAAGCTATTTGAAATGCCTGATATAAAAGTTCACAACTTTCAATCGTAAAATAATCAAAGTCCAAGAATGTAATGGAATATCGCCAATGTAAAGCTTTTTGAAAATACATGCCTTAAAAGTTTAAAATTTCAGTAAGTGGGATGTTTTTAAATTTCTCAACTCGTCATTGTAAAGAAAAAAAGCTTTACTTTAAAATGACATAAATTTTTGTCCCTAAACCTTGACATATATATATAGGAACATTGGTTCAGATATTTCGCTTTTTTCAACAGGTGTGTATTCTTGAATAACTGGGTTATCATTCACTGTTTGTCTTTCTCTTTCATCATGTTGAACATTATTGAAGATCCAGAAGTCTAGCAAAGTGTCAATTGCTACTGCATTTGTTGTTCTAACACCTGTTTTCATTTTTTCTTTCACTAGATTTAGCTTTTTAAGAGTTTTTTGTTTTAACTCATCTTCTCCTTGTATTTCAATATTGAATTTTGAAGTGCGCTTTCTTGGTTTCTTTGCTTCAGCCATTGCTTCTTCTGGATGTAACAATCGAAGTTAGAATGAACATGAATAAAATAACATGTTCATGGCTGTGTCATTTGATCAGCTAATTTTTTGTGATATCATACAATAATTACCCAAGTCTGCAACACTATTGACTTATCATTATCTACAATAGGTTTCTACTCTTTTTTAATCACAAATACAAACAAAACCTTGTTGAAAGAGTTTAATATTGTATTTATCATGGTAAACATACTGTGATTACTTCTAATTATGCTGTGATTAAGCATAATTATAAATGCATTGCAAAACAAATTGGAAAAACAAATCCTGCAATGTTGTCTTTAGAGATTTGGCTGTGCTTATCATTTCTTTAGTTAGGCACTGATGCAAGTTTTTAACCCTGCACCATATTGCCATAATAAGCCATGGGCTTCTCTTGAAAGCCCATGAATAGATACTGTATTTTCATTTCATCATTGTGTCAACTGAAATACCTTCACTCTATTCATGTATAGTGTCCACTTGAGTTAACTTTGCACTTCAAACTATAAACTTGAACTTAACTCACATGCAATTCAGTCATACATCTGTATAAGAAAACTACAGTGAAAAATAATTACAGTTGTAAACTTGTTAAAAGATAACTTACAGTATAAAAAGTTTAATAACCAATATTTTTTCTAGGCCATTAAGTGTCTGGAAGTTAGTGCTTAGTAAGAAATGACTGGTTTATCCTTAACCTTGAGGGAGGGATATCACATTCTCCCTCAATTCTAGCATCAACCATAATCCATTTAATTAAGAATTCGAGAACTACCAGATACATAAGGCTTATGTACTGGGAGGTGTAAGATACAGAATGTATCCTGAGGAACATATGAGTGGTACTAATTTTCCAAGGGATATAACCGTGGGATATACCCTGTATCTAAACTGTATATGATAGTTTGTATCCTATCTCTACTAATATGACCAAGTACATTCTACTTTTATCAGTTCTATAAGGTTTCAGAAAAGAATGGATTTTTTAATATTAAAGGCAGAATCAGATATATGGGGGTGACAAAATTACAAGCAACATGTACAATTGACCTACTAATCTATTCCTTACAATCTCAAAATACAATATCTCTCAAAAGATTCACAATATGTTATAAATTGGTGAAATTATAATCGCTTTAAAGTGCAAAAATGGGTGAAAAATGTTTAAATTCTCCCAAAATAATAAGAATGGTAACCATTCTTATAGAAAAATAATACATTGTTGTAAAATTTTTTAGTTTCCCTGAAATAAAGTGTGCACTTTGGGGATTTTTAGAAAATAGACATGAAAAGGAAAGACATCAGCCAGAAATATTCTAAAATTGCAATTTTTTGTTTGGCCGTTCGCTAGATCTGATTCTTTCTTTAATTTGTAAACTTCAAAATGTCAAATATGACATATGACTTTTTGTAAAAAACAATTCTTTTAACAGTAAAATTACAATACAATTATTTTGTGTTTAATCTAATTTATCCAAATCACTATACTTTGCAGAGTTGTTGCAAAATAATTTTGTTTTATTATTTTGGATTGTATTTTAAATGTGTTTGTGTATTATCTCCCTATTAAAGCTCAAAAAATATATTTCTTCCTAGTCAGGATGGAAAAATACAAACTAGACATAAAAATCGCCATGTTTAGGCTTGAAAATATTTCTGGCTCTTTCTTAAGTCTTTGGGCCTGTATTAAAATGTGTTTAACAAATGACCCATGTTTTACAGTTTTTTTAAACATTTTTTTGTTTTGCAGGTTGAACGCCAATGTTGACCTAATAGTGAAAGGTTCAGAACTGTTACGGATGTTGAACATCTCCCCTGGACACAAACTGGATCATCATGAGCTGAACTCCCTTCATGAACTCCAGGAGGTCTTTGCATTCTTTCTTGCAAAGGGCTCTGGAGCAGAAAGAAATTTTGCAAATGGTGAAGATTTTGGAAAAATGGTTGATGCAGCCGAGCGACTTTCTCGAGCTGATGTAAGTGTTAACAACCATACTTGTTAAAGCTTTATGGGTCTGTTTTGAACTGTTGTAACTTATGATTTGGTCATTGTTTATCTATTAGTTAGTTTTCCATACATAATGATCATACCAATATCAGACTCCTATTTTGGGTTTACTGAGTATGTGGAGTTAGATTTATTCATATGGTTTATACAATACACATGTCTTCCAGAGAAAAATAGGTAGCCTAGTATTTTAAACTTAATTTCGATTCAATCAATACAATGTAGAAATTAAAAGTTCTTACATATTGCATTTTCATAGCTAACAAGTAGCTGTACAACAGTGAATGCCTTCATAATTTCTTAGCATTTGAAGACATTTGTAATTGAAACTATGAAATCAATACTGAACCAATAATGATGTGTTACTGTACAATATACATGTAGCTATAGTATTGACTCCTTTATTATACACAGACACAGACTTCCACTAGCAAGCAGTGGAAGGTGATGTTAGTCATACCACCTGTTGTTTCCACTATAATGTTTTTTTTATTTAAAGAATAAAATTGCCCCTTCGTCAAGTGTAGAGATTTCTCTTTCACTTAAAGAGTGAAGACGAAGCTGTCTTTTAAAAAGCTAAATCAAACAAATGTGAATTAAAAATTTGAATGTGGTTTGAGATCATGCTTAGACCAATAATTGGTGATTTCTTTAAATTAATGCTCTATATAATGTATTTTTAATTTTTTCACACATCATAAACATGCTGCACAAGAAAACTCATGAAAATCCCATCATTAATTGGGAGTTTAATTAGAGGTAAATTTTTTTATTTGCCAAAAGCCATATTCAGCTTCTTTTTTTTCTGCAGTTGTGGCAGTTGCTAAATTAAATTTAAACTCCATCCTGCCATGCACAACTCCTGAGTTCCTGATGGGCGTATCAAGTGATTATTGATGTATTAAGTGATTATTGGTGTATCAAGTGATTATTGTTATCAAGTGATTATTGGTGTATCAAGTGATTATTGTTGTTTCAGTGGTTTATTGGAGGAAATGCTGCATTAATGGCACAAAAGATTATTACAACATTCCCAGATACTCAGGTAGGATTATATACTGTAAAACACATGAAATTCACTAAACATCTTGTATTTGTGTATAATCTTGTGAGCCTAAAATCTCCATAATTTTATTGCCATATTGATCTGGAAGAAACCTATGTTAAATATACATTGCACAATCCTATTGATTGATAGAACAGTATATTATGGTAAGAAGCCAAAAGCCAAATACATTGAATTTGCGGAGGAGGTATGTTCAGGTATTACATTCGCCCTTGATCCATGTTATCGCCTGACAAAGTTGATGAACTAGCATTTCGGAATATGGATTCAGTTTATTAAAGTCCTGTACTAAGTTTGCCAAAAAGTAAATAGGTTATTTAAAACATGAACATTGATCAAACAGATCAAGACACTGACATTAGTAAAGAGTTATGTTTGTTCACTTTGTCTGTATGTCACTATGACACGATCAGTGTATTTTCTGATTTTCCAATCAATTTCATATATCTATTCGCTCATTTCACGTAGCCCGTGAGAACTACAATCAGATCTGAACTTAACTGTAAAAATCAACCACCAGTCTGAATCGTGAAATCCCAAACTGTTTGGCCCCTAATGGATACTAGTTCACGATGTTAGACAATATCTCTTGCTAGTTTAACAATATGATAATTACTGACAGTTATGTCACACTTAAAAACTGACATTGTTGTGTGAATCAAACCTCTAAAAGTGGACCTCCTTTCAATGATCATTCACAGACTCAGGTTGCTATACATGTACATGTTAAATGTATATGTAGGTACAGCTAGTCGGCCCAGTAGGCCCCAGACTGAAGTCACTCTTAGATCAAAACATGCAAGTTCCACAGAGCAGTAGGATTGATAAAGATGAGGTAAGTGGCACTGACAGATTCTAGATTTAATTCAATAAAATTCAGCAGTTTTACAAAATATACAGTGTAGTGAAAAATTAAAGAATTTAGCAAATTAGTGCAGCCTGACATTGATTGAAGTCTTATAATATAAAGTACTAATTCAATGACAACTTTTGAGAAGTCATTCAATAACAAACTTAAAAGTTTCACAAAATATTTCATTCTTTACTTTCACAAGTCAAATCTTTAGAGTGTAAATTGTAAGAAGCAATCTTTTGAAATTCATTTTATAAAAGGTGCACATGATCCTTGAATTTGAACGTGGTGAAAAATGGGGAGATCACCAAGCCCCAGTGGCGACCCGATTCATCACGTCACATGACCTCTCCAATGCCAGGATGGACAAGCTAGAGACGCTCTTTGCCAGTTTGGGTTCATTTCAACCAGATCTAGTCATTCTCTCAGGGTTGCATATCATGGAAGGTCAAAGTGAAGATTTTTTGAAAAAGAGGCTAGAGGATTTGGCGGGAAATCTCCGTCTGCTGCCGAGTACTGTTCCCGTCCATCTTGAGCTGGCTAGTATGACTAAACCATGGTTCATGAAGCTCATTATGGAGATTGTAAGTGTTAAGGATTATTAAGCTGAATTAGAAATAAACACCCTGCTTTAATAAGCAAATAGAAGTAACGATGAAACACACCAAAAACTAGTGCTTTAGTGCTTACTATCTTTTTTTTGATTATTAGTGTAGTATAAGCTAAAGAATTCATTGATCAATTGTTCTTGTAATATCTTGTAATATTCACAAACTGTTTTGTAAATCAAAACCATCAAAATTGTATTGTATGGCAGGCTTGTAGCGTTAAATTATAGTCATACTCTGGTGTAGTGGTATCTCTAATGTACATGTTATTATGTAATACAGTTTTACATGTTAATATAGTACATGTTCAGATAACTACCCATGTTGGCTTGGTTTTCTTTATTTTTCTGCTGATTCCATTTCTGTTGTAAAACTCAACAATCACAGTAAAACCTGTCTGTGGTTGAACACATCTTTAAGGAATGCCTCTCTACAAGGAAACGTTTTCAAAAGAACCAAACATTAATTTTCACTTACAAGCATGTGAATGAATCTTCTCTGTAAGGATCACCCGTCAACTGGGAACAAGGTTTTCTCTCAGACGGGTGTTACTATAACAACATGACTAGCACAGTAAAGCCTGTCCACTTGTCTACTGGGAACAATATGCTCCCTCAAACAAGTTTTACTGGACTTCCATGCCTCAAATAAAATTCAGATCTTTTTGTGCATGAGCTCCTTCAGCCATTTCTTGATTGCAGATCATTCCACTTGTAAGCTCTATAGGTCTAAATGAGGAAGAACTGGCTTTTACTGCTTTAGTTGGAGAGGGACCTCACACTGACCTGTTCTATGGGTTAAAGCCTAATGTTTGTACTAACACTACTCACTCTTTAAAGCCTCTTATACTATTAATATAATAGATTAGAAATTAGAATATTATATAATTTATAATAGGAGTGTATATAAACTGGGCTAGCTTTCAATAAACAAAGCAAGCTATGTACATATATTTATATACTGTACTCCGGGTATTATTCGTGTGCAATTTGATTTCGCTTTGTTAGCGAATGTAGTAAAATCGCGAACATTTAACGTCGCGAAATTTGTCTTTTAAATCCCTGGGGATTTGACCCGGGACTTTTGATATGTTTCGTTCGGTGTAAAACGTTTCGTCCAGTGTTGTTGGGTGATAATTCAAAAATTGCCTAAAATGTCTAACATTTTGAATTTGGTTATTAGGCCAACAAAGGCAAGAACTGTTGACGACAATGATATCCTACAAATTGAAGTTGAAAAAGCCATTCAAGAATATTCAAATAAATGCCCTAAATGTGGGAAATACAAACATTATTCGGATTCTGAACGGGCTAAAGTAGCCAGATACGCATTGATTCACGGTAATGGGAAAAAAATTCAACTTGTGCAATCCGCGAAATGTCATCAACTCAAATTGGCGAAATTAAATAGCCGCAAAATTGCAATTTCGAAAAATCGTGAAATTTTATAGCGTCAAAATTTCCCCGGAGTACAGTAATTATACCATGTGCTTGAAGATGTTGTTTCTTAGCTTCACAGTCAACACATTTCAAAATTCTACTTCTCTGTGTCGGAAAATTAGAGTGTGTTATAGAATTAGGCTGCAGCTTTGTTATGTCACCAACACAAGTGGTGAAATATTGTTTTAGACTCAAACTTTTTGTGGATGGTGTTCGGTGGTTTGCGGCTGACATTTGAGATCTGTAACAAATGGTGGGTGGTGACATTTTGCATGTTAATCCCTTGTTTGTATTTTATATTTTTTTCCAAATTATTTAGTTCATAGTTGTTTTTTTTATTTACTCTTACACCTTTTTCAGAGTTTTTGAATGTTTTGAATGCTGAGCATTTTTTTTATCATTCATTTCATATGTTAAGTTTACTTTTTACAGTTTTTTAGCATATCCCTATTCATTTTAAGCCACATAACATTACGCAAGACATGACATAAGGTCCATGTTGACTTGATTAAAAATAAACCATGATGTAGCACATGTGTTCAAGCTATGCACCATCTTAAGCCAGAGTATCAGTAAGGACCAAGAACCCATTCAAAGAGAAGTTGGTCACAAACCTGCCCCGAGGATCCCATTGTTTATGCTCTTATCATTCTCGTCCTATTTCCAAATGGTCACAGACAAATACATGCATGGTCTGTTATATCTTTTCAAACGGATGATTGGTCTGAACCGAGTATGAAGTGATCTTTAAGATTTGGTAATGTATCTGTACCTTTTCCAGGTTCTTCCCACTGTGAGCTCTCTTGGTTTGAATGAACAGGAGTTGGCCTTTGCCTCTCACGCAACTGACGGACCTCACAACACAATGTACAAGGAAATAAAGGGACAGCCGGAAATTCACAAAGTCAGTGACATCATGACCTGGCTTTTGAAGACATATTCATACGGAAGTAAAAACTACCCAAATTCAAAACTAACCAGAGTTCATTTCCATTCATTGACGTATCATATCACAGGAACTTTGAACGTCGCATGGAGAAATGAACGTGCAGCTGTCGCCGCAGGCACAAGAATTGCTGCCAAACAAGCATGTGATATGAAAATATTTGACCCGACAAAGGTTGATATAAAATCCCCCGAACAGTTTAAATTATTCACGGGGGACAAACTCAGGAGTTTTAATCAATCAGAACCAGTGCTTTCATGGAAAACAGGAGATTTCAAATTCTGTTTCAGTCCTGTACTAGTTTGCAAACATCCTTTAAAAACTGTAGGATTAGGTGATGCAATATCTGCTACAGGGCTTTTATTCTCTGAATATGATGCCAAATATGCTGACCAATCATAAAACAAAGAAACCTTCAGCCCTTGGAAAAGGCCAAAATATGCTGACCAATCATAAAACAAAGAAACCTTCAGCCAAGGCCAAAATATGCTGACCAATTGAATCATAAAAAACCCTTTGAATAGGCCATCATTAACTGACCTAAAGTCTTGCATCATTGAATTATAATGCACTCCCTGAACACACACATATTTATTCTAAGTTGGGAAAATATTGTGGTGGGAGACATATGCTTGATGCGAGGTTTTACAAACATTGCTCAATGTAGAATCAGAGCAATAGAGTTGCCATATTATATAATATATTTACAAATCAATGAGGCCATTTCATTGAACAACATGGTTTCACAAGTCACATTGACACTGGTGATCCGCTCGATTACGCTGGTTACCGAAACGGTTCATTTCGGTAACAAAATGTCGGAACGTCGAAGGTACGATTTTTCTTTTTTCCTTATTTCAAACGTCGTAGGCAGAATCCCCGGGACATTTTTTCACACAAACGTGTATCAGTATCATATGTTTTAGAAAATGTAGTTTTATGTAGTTCATAGTTCTTCTGAACTATTTGTTCGCAGATGTGTACATTTTCTTAAACATATGATACTGGTACACGTTTGTGATAAAAATGTCGTGGGAATTCTGCCTACAATGTGTGAAATAAGGAAAAAAGAAAAATCGTACCTTTGACATTCCGACATTTTGTTACCGAAACGGTTCCAGCGTAATCGAGTGGATCACCAGTGATTGAAAACTGCCCTGCAAAGCTCTTTTGTGTTTACTCTTTGAAATGCTACTAAGATTCTACTTAATGCCACATCTCAAAAAATAAATAAATAAGGATACATATTTTTCAATGAAATAGACTTTACGTATGAAGTATTATCAGAACCTTAGGGACCATTTCTGATTATAAATGTATTTCATTTTATTTTTATTTGTGAATATGAATGCAATGCATTTTATTTTTAAAATGCACATTGATTCATGATTTACAAGAGATCATATTAATTTACGATAACTTCTGTCTCTTTCACTGACCCTTTTGGGAATTTGATCTTACTGTTTAAGTTACTGCAATATACATCCTCTTTGTGTTAAGTTCTGCCATATACCGGTATATATATATATATACATGTATATTTATCTGACCATATTTACCTCTGCCCTCTGTTTTACATATAGTGTATTGGATATAAACATTAAAACGTTCATGGAGGCCATTTTATGTAGAGGCAGGAGCAGGTATATGGAGGATATCCTTTGGTTTTTGAGGGATATCACATTGGTGTTATGCAAAGTGGTTGCATGAAAATATTAAAATCATTTTGATAAGAACGTTATCGTCAGAATTTTATTCTGACAGTCAATCAGATGAGGTTGTTCTGCTGTGCTGACAAATCTTTTAAGGCGCTTATTCAAAACTAATAAAAAATAGAGAATCTGATTGGATATCACGTCATATCAGTGGAACACAATTTTAGTAGCGCATATCAGAATTATCTTGTGTTGTTACTTGTTATCCCCATATATATTTAGCATCCATAGGATAAAATATGTTATTGTATTTATTGATTACTGAAGTTCAATTTCTTAATTCACTCTGTTAGAAACTTACATTTTGTTCTGGTAGATTAGTCTTAGGTTATAACACAATACAATGCAGTACTATGTTTAAAGCTACCAATAATTTAAATGATTCTCTGTAAAACTAAAGCTAGAAAAATTCTTGGCTATTATCTATAGTGAGTGGCAAGTCAAGTGCAAATAACAAGAAGTGCATGCACTCTTTAAACAGCATTTAGTTCACGTATTATAAACAAAGCTATGGTTATAATATGTAAACAAATAATGTTGGTTATGACAAAAGGGCAGGCATTGTGATAAAGAATAGAACATCTAAGTAATTATCAAAGTCTCTTGAAACCTGCAAGTCATAGGTATTTCTGAATCATTTTAATTTTGGTGTATTTTAGGTTCATAGTTTGCCACTGAGCCCATTAAAGAGTTGTTATGTCATGACTCTGACTCAAACGAAATTTGCAAGTCATGTGTTTGCAACTCATTGTTAAATTTCATCATAATGTACATAAATGACATTGTTGTGATATTTAAGGAAAAAAATTTTGGCGTACACATACACCGATAAATCATGGCAGTCTGCTCATTTTATTTTAAATGAAATGTTGAACAAAATCCTAAAAATTTCCTGCATATTCTATACAAAATGTTTGTGTTGAGAATTCTTAAGTTTTCTACACAATTGGTTATGGACATAATTATAGGGATGGAGGATCTTATATATATTCCATATACGTATACATACGGTAATCTAATTAGTAATAACCCAGATATCAGTAGGTAGTTACCAGTTTCACCACCAGGTGGCTAATTCAGTTCAGATAACAAGGCAGATATAGCGGAAGGTTCCCTTAAACTTGAAAATATTATCTGTCTACCACAAGAAATGATATTTCACTTTTTGTGATTTTACAACATTGGGTCCATGGGAAAACTTCTTCCTGACCTAGAGGTCAATTTTCAAAGAATTTTCAAGAATACTTGCATCTCGTCTATTAGATACATTAAATTTTACTCTATCTAAAAAGGTACAATTGTCATCAGCATGGTGGGTGGGCATCATTTGCGCATTTGCCACTTGATGAATTGACTTTTAGGGATGCTCCTTGGTATTTTTGGCATGCTGCTTAAACTTTCTGAAGGCCATTTTTGAAATTACTGTCCTATATGCTATTGTTCACAGTGTGCCTTGTTCAAATTTGGGCTTCTGGGAGCATGCATAAATAATGTGAGTTACATGTACAGATGTATAGGACACATTACATCATGAATAAATTACTACATGTGTATTATGAAATTGTGTACGAGCAACAAACTGAAAACTTTAGAATTCAAGATTCATGCTCAAATTATATTATATGATCTTGTATAAAATTTCAAATTGTATTTTACCTTCTAACAGCTTGAACATGTGCAATTTCATTTGCTATTTTTTGTGTGAGATAATTTTACAGTTCTTCCTAGGAGTGAAAATCAAACATGCTGTAGTAGATTTTTATAAATATGTAACATTATACAGCTGTTGTTGAATCTTGTACTATACCTTGCATAATAAATAATGTTTACCTGTAAGCTAGCTCTTGGAATTTTATGTTCAATCTTATGTTCAAAATATTGACATTTTAATTCATACCAAAATTGTAATTTATTGTGTCATACGATAAATGATGCCCCCTTCCCATATAATGAAATTTGAAAATGTTGCTTTGCATTTATTTGAAATCATATTTTATCACGAAAATCTTCAAATCCCTGTCTCTTAAATTTTCACAATTACTGTTGGATATAAACAGTATAAGTATGGTTATTCACTATAATAGTATATATATATATTACTGCAGTATGGTCCTTTACTATAATGGTATGTGGTTATATATTACAGTTTATGAGTAAAGTAATGAGACAAAACCACTAACTAAAATATCTTACATCTCATGTATTGTAGAGAGTATGTTCTTTATTCAGTTGTATGTAAAATATTTACAAATGTGAAAAAGCTATGACATATTGCAGTGATCTCCCCAGGATTTTTTCTCAGGTGGGTGCAAAATTTTCATTTTCACAATTCAGACTAAAATTGGTCAAAATATGCCAATTTTTTATGATTTTTCTCATTTTCAAGTGGGTGCAAATGGATTTTCAGGTGGGTGCAAGCCTATTTTCAAAATCTCAGGTGGGTGCTGCGCCCACTTGCTTTAATGCTGGGGAGATCACTGTATTGTTAACCTCATGCACAGATTTTCACACCCATGGTTTCTCTTGTAATAAATATATTATATTTATTTAAGATCTCACCAGAGTGGAAAGAGCTTGCTGAAGTAAAGTCTTTAAAATAAACACTTGGAAAGATAGTTAAAATTTTCAGTCCCATTTTTGGGGATATCCCATTTAATTTCTCTAAGTATGAAATGTCTGATAAGCAGGTTACTAGAAGTAACTTTAGACAGGTTTTACTGTATAATAAATCTGAGTCTTGAATGATAAAAAAAACTTATCCTATGCCCAGTAGAGTTTTAGGGAGATAAGTTGGTAAGATATATCTCGTATCTTGATATTGAGGTTTCTATATCCAGAACGTCCACATCTCCCGCAATATCTCCCGCTTCAGGGCAAATCTTCCTGCTTTGAAAAAAAATTAGACAAAATAAAAATTGAGAAAAAATTAGAAAACTCTACTGGCTATAGGATAAAGCAGTTATGTACGATCGCTTTGGATATGGGGTTTATCCCTCGTGAGATATACACATCTACCTTCGGTCTCTATGGTCCCTCAGGTAGATATGCATATCTCGCTCTGGATAAACCCAATATCCATAACCGTACATAACCCTTATATATTGCATCTATGATCAGCTTGAATTCATGATATCATTTCAAAAAAAATAAAAAAAAATGTAAAAATATCATCATTTTCAAATCAATCACATTGAAATAAACAAATTGAAAAATCATGTAACATTTCAATGACACAGTACATAGTACATAATGTGAAATGTTATGTTGAGATTGATTTTATTTGGAAATATAATTGTTATGTAATAAGTATTACTAGATACAATTGCAAAATATGGCACATAAAAAGTCACTATATAAACATGCAATATATAGTTTGTATACAAGAATCCGATACTTATCTTCAAGTATTATATATGCCAGAAAAATCTTTTTTCTTTGTTTCAAAATTCGAAGTGCCAAAATATAGAATATAGCAACTACTTTCTTAATGTACAGAATCATAATAAGCACTTGTTAGAAGTAAGCATTTCAATCACAGTATTATATACATTTAGCTTTACCACGAATATAACATGTCTACAGTTCTTAGAATTACAACAATACCATTCATTTACAATGAATGATTTACAAATCCTATACACTATGCCTATACACTATCCATAGGTTTTGGGTTAATATAAAGATGGCAGCAACAGTAGAATCCTATTAAGCTTTATCTTTCAGGTGCTCAAGAAGTTTCTGAAGTACCTTTTGAATTAAAATTTCGTTCCCACAATGCTACTCTCAACATAAGAGTGAAATAAATATAAAGAAGACGTATCGATTTACATACCGAGCACATAGAATCAATTGATTGTCACATACCGAGGGACTGAAAGTCATTAAACAGCCAAATAAGCCAAATGTAATAAGATACATTTTAGAACATTTGTTCATGTTTGAGAATAACCTTCGAATCGAAGTAGAGAAGTGTATAAATATCAATTTCTGGGACTGCCATTGTCATTTATCCAATATGCAACTTTGCTGTGCTAAGGTATATATTATATACTATTTCAGTTTGTATTTGATTGATACTATACCCGTGGTATGTATAGGGACATGTCTTTTATCTATCAGTAGGGCTGTTTTACAAAAAAGGTGACAGAAGGGCGAAATGTGGATTTTAAAAGTACCACTATGGCGCATGTTGGGGACTTGAAATTGAAGCGTAAATAAACACAAATTGATTGGCCTGCCCTCTTTATTTAAAAATAATTTCTATCTCCCTCTAGCCTCTGATATTATCTAATACATGTATATACTTATGGCAAGGAGGATTGGCTCCCAGAGTGCAACATGGATATTCTGTCCCATATATGGGAATGTCGTGCAACAAAATTCCAACAGCCGCCATTTTGTTCACTTCAACATTTGAATTGTAAATTTTGGTCTTATTTCCTTCCGAAAAATTCCAAAACTCACAAGAAATGATTGAGATATTGGTCTGAATCTTTTGAACTGTTTATTTTGAATTTATAATCGATTATAATTTCAGAAAATAACGACATTTCAACGTTTTCATTGTTGGAAAATATCGACTTTGATTCTGGGAGCCAATCCTCCTTGCTTATGGCAACCTTCTTCAATCATCAACATTCTCAGACTGTTTAATATAGACAGTTAACATACGTTTCATTCTTACACTTTATAAAAGTAAATATTATGGCACCATTGAATCTCATATTTCATAAGGGACTTAAGTCAAATATCAATGAGTTGTAATACTTTACAAAACTAGTTACAGTAAGACCAGTATATCCGAACACCTCTCTCTTATCCACCTCACTATGTGAACACTTTTTCTCAGTTCCAATTTTGTCATCTTCCATTGACTCACTAATTCAGAAACCTTAAAATGTGAACACCTGATAATCATAACACTTTTTCAGTCCCAGTGGTGTTTGAATTTACTTATTTTAGTTTTTACTGTATATTAGGAAAGGGTCAGGTTTCTTACATAGAAAACAAAAACTGAGTAGATTGAATATTTTAATTAATGGTTCAGTAAAATTTAATTTCAGGTTATTAGTTTTGCAAAAACCATTGTCATTTCGACCGTCCCCTATATTGCTTGTAATACATGTAGTTCATATTTACACTGAATCAAGCTAGAAAATTGTACATATACTGTATATAAATACTTTTTAAAATATTATCTACTGTAACATGGTTTTACTTATCACTTCAAAATAGAAAAATCTTCAAATCTTATTATCTGGTCATTTCATATACACTTTTACTCTAATATCACAATATATGAAGCATAAATTATGTACAAATGGTGTGTACCTTGTAGCATAAGAAAGTAAACAAATGGACAAAAAACTATGCTTTCAAGTGATCTGATTTGACTACTTCTGTACTACTAAGCATATTGAGTAAAAATGCCTGTATGTACACTTTGACTTTGCTTTCAATTCAAATTTTACAATACAACTGGAGTTTATTTTTGTGATAAATAAATGTACAGTAACATGATTTATGCAAGCCACTTATAAATGGACAAATAGGACCAAAGTTATCCACCAGAGCCCGCCTTAATTGCAAACTGAGCATCAATAACTGTGAAGTTTTAAAACTAGTCAAAGCTCAGACTGAAAGACAAGGAATCCACAAAATAGATTTTGTATCACTTCACAAATACTGCAAACATACAGACAAACATACGGATATAGGCTCTGAGTAAATATATGGAATTATTTCAAAATATTTTAACATTTTCATTGAATATTGCCACAAATTGCAAAAATCTGGAATTCCAAGCAGAAATATTGTATTCAAAAATAAATAAATATAAATTCCATCCATAAGAAAACTCTTGAGTGTCTGCCATTTAAGTGCAGTGAAACCTGTAAAGTGGAACACCTCTAGAAATGGAACACCTCTGTAAGTGGAACACTTTTCAGAGTCCCAAAACCCACTGACTTAATGTTAAATGAACCTCTATAAGTGGGACACTTCCCAAGTGGAACACTTTTCAGAGATACCAAAGGTGTTCCTCTTAGACAGGTTTTACTGTACATCAGTTTTTTATATGCATCATCTCTCTTACGTTTATTTCATTTATTACCAAACTTGACCGATACAATCCATTTTCGAAGAAAGTTCTTTCTATGACTAGTTGCACTGTTCTCATGTATGGGTGACTCCATCTATCAGGTTAATGTCCTTTACACGATCTGCAACAATTTTTCTTGTAGTGGTGGAACCGGCAAAGTCGTGCCTGTACAACTATGCGGCAGTTTGGTAAAGCATCAGAACACTCTGGATCTGTAATTAATTCAATATGTTGAGTATATGAAAAAATGTGTGTATATTACTGGGTAATTTTTTAATTTATAGGTGGTCTTATTTTGCAAAAATGATGCCATTTCAACCTGGCGTAAGTCTTTCATGTAAACACCTGTTTTGCGCAACATTATGTCAAACTATCAGTTTGTATACATTCATGTAGGCTTAACATTTATATTTTGTATCAATTCAAAAATATCATATTCTACCTCAATACAAACTGGATGATTCTTCTCTGAAGCCTAGAGGGAAAGGATATTTGTTTTATGCTGTATATTTGCCAAACATTCGGAACACTTTTTATCAGAACCAAGGGTGTTCCACTAACACAGGTTTTACTGTATTTTGTATACTGTCTGACCCTTGAGCACATTGGTACTTTACCTGGTTTCTCAGTTGGACATATATAAGTGTTGCATTCTGTTCTAATGATTGGTTTATCCTTTATGAGACATCTTCCACTGGGCCGCTGGTACCTATCCAAACACATGGCATTCCTCATTTTTTCCCCAGTTCCACAAGTCTTACTGCACTGTAATAACAATGAGATTCTCGATACAGTATACTTAGGTTTTTTATGTGTAATATTAGGATTAGCTGTATTCAAATCATTTCACTATGATCAATAGAATATGCCTTTTGAGAATGAAAACCTCTCTTGGTACCCCTCATGTAGCCAGCAAGCCCCTGACCAAAGTCGCTAATTTAACAAGTAAACTTATTTTGGGAATAAGATTCAACCGAAAAATCAAGGCCACTCTGAAAAAAGGGCCCTTTACTTATAACTTTCAATGGGCCTACTTTATACCTTTCACATCATTCTTACCTCAGACCAGTCAGTGAGGTACCACTCCGCCTCACATGTGTTGCTTTCACACTTGTGTTCACTGATTGGCTTAACCTTCTGGGAGCAGAAGCGATCATTGGCTGACACCCAGGAACGACCTATCTGTCTCATACACATCACTGCACGTGTCTTGATTCCTGATCCACACCCAGTGCACTAGATGAAAATCAAATGTCCATTTTATATACTTTTAATTATCTTCTTTCAAAAGGATAATTGTGTGTTTTGGAAAATATGTTGATGCATGTGTAAAGTCATATCCATTGCATCATAAATACAGCATATTTGGAAGCACAGATATCAATGACATTACACACGGATCAAGAATGTTGGAAAACATACTGTGGCAATATAATAAAATACATGCATCATCATACACAAAGGTCAATAAAATCATACAAAAACCAAAATAACATGAGTACCAATTGAGCATAAAGATAATCATATGACATCATTAAATATGACATGACATCATTAAATATGACATCCAACAATAACTTAGATGACCTGACATCAGGAACTCACCTTGCTCCACTCAGATGTAAACCACTGTGCTCCACATTGTTTATCATGCTTGCAGGCCTTTGATGTTACTGGTTTCTTACTGCTAGCACACTTATGAGAGCTGTCACTATTGCAGAACACCTTCCTGGTGTAGATACCGTGGCCACAGTCACTGGAACACTGCAATCAGTCAAATGTAGTTTTATCACAAACATATTCTCACCTGATACTTTATCTTGATTCGTTTCCGAATCTTTTATTCAACCACATATTGCTGGCAGTTATCTTTACAAATCTTAGACATGGGGTATGTAATATTTTAGCATTACATATATGTTTACTCTGAAACATGTGAAAATGAGTACTTAACAAAAGTATTACACAAAAATATACTGAATATGGTACTAATCAACATACAAGTAATTTAGCTATTTTAGGCAATAAATGAAGGACTGAATCCATCAGAGATTTCTGAACATCTTACAGCTTGTATTTTGTGACCAATACACCCATAATCTAAATTGATGCTCTCCATATAAACAGTAATTTGAAAGCATACCTGATCTGACCAGTCTGTGTAGTACCAGTTATTGATACAGGGGCCAGCATCGCATTTATCTTCACTGCGAGGTTTATGATGTTCACAATTTTTGTCGTCTACAGTCTGGTTGAAACCATTCAGACACCTCACATCTCTCACTCTCTTTCCTCTGCCACACTCACTAGAACACTGAAAAACATTAAGAAACACTGTAAGAACATGCAAGACATGATCTTAGTGTCCCTCTATAATATTTGGTCGTCTCACCTGTTTGAAATTTAACACTGATAATGTTTTAATTGTCATCAACTCATGGTTGTTTGAGCGGCCCTGTCACTTAATTCTCAGTAACTGTGGCCCTGCCACTGATCAAACCATTGCTTGAGTGAGAATGAGGTCACTTTAGTCACCTCTAACCATGCAAAAATTGTAATCTAAATGTTACTTGTCATAATTATATAGTCAACCTTATTCAATTTAAGTCAGTCAAATGTAATGAATTGTCTGCAATGTTCAACTCTCCTCTAATTTGATTACTGGTTAGATTAAGTTGCATGCATAGACAGCCAACACATTTATATTTTGCTATTTTCTGGTCACTTCATTGCTATTTAAAGACCCATTAGTAAGATCAGTGCTACAATTTGTCACTTGTCAATTTCTTTCATTTCCAAGTATGCTAAAAATGCTAACTTACTGCGCCCCAAGATCCAGTGTGCCATCTGAAACATACTGTTGTCTCACACATTGTTGATGTGGCTGGTTTTGGTTCATTAAGGCACTCTCTGGCAGACACCAACAGGTGAAGGCCATTGTTAATATTCTGTTTACATTCCACAGTCCTTGTCTTTTGTCCCTTTCCACATGTTGTGCTACAAGTTGACCATGGACTGGTCTCCCATCTGTAATATAGAGATTCTGGTTTACATTTTGTTTAATCATATTTGTTTCATTGATTTTTGCACATTGTGTGGTTTTATGATTTTCTGCAGAATGCACATAAGTGCTATGAGCTATTACATGAGACCATACAATTTGTTTTGCCACAATGCAAAATTACGTATGAGCAATATAGACATGGAATTCTAGGACCTGTGAATGCAATAAGGCACACAGTTGTATGTTCCACTTACCCAGGTGGGCATGGGTTGTTCTTGCACTCCACTTTCTGTTTGGTAGGCTTTGTATCTACGTCACAATTGTCCTCTGTCACTGTAACTATACCTGATCCTAGATTTGGTACACAAACTATCAAAGTCTCTTGTACTCCTACAAAATATTGATCTAACATTAGCTTAAGGTTCTAATGCCAGAATAGATGTCACACGTGGCCATTGTGACTACCACTATTCTTGATCACAGTTTCATTATCTATCAGCTTTTTGAAAAGAGACCCAGGGATGCATGAATTCGCCTATCTTACTATCTTTCATGAATCTAAAGCTGATGACTGTCCACTGTCAGATGACACTAGTGGGATTTTAAGGCATGAAAAAAGTTGCATTTAGATAATGCATTTAGTTTTGTTGGGTCTTTTTCAATGGATTTCGCTGTCGGCAGAGCTTAACTATTTGGGACATTAACACCCTAATTATCAGAATACATTATATCGGATCTGACATCGACCTTTTGCGTTGGTCTCTTATTCATTTGCAAACATTATTAGTGCATTCACTAATATGCACACAATAATACATCAGTTAGTGACTAAAAAATGGCAAAAAAGAAAAGGGCAAGTATTCTATTTTAATAACCTGGACATTTTTGCGTCAACTTTAATATTTTATATTTATATTTTATTTTTGTTTATTTTATTTTTAACTTTTATATTTGATCAGAAATCTCAATTTCTCTTTTTTAAAAAGCAAAGGACTGTATTAAAGGGAATGAGGCTTTAACATGCAAAATGTCACTACCTGCCATTGTTACAGACACTGACTTTAGTACCAAACACCATCCACTAAAAAGTATGTCACCATTTCTTCTGGTAACGACATAAACATTGGTGTAAAATGCATGCATTGTTTTGTTTAAATTAGAATTCTTGTAAACTTCCTCAACAATTCCATTTTTGCTACACGCAATGTTTTGATCTTTGATAGGTGGCACATTTGATAGTAAATACCTTAATAGTTCAATTGATCTTTTAATAATTTCATACTTCCTCAATAGTGTATACTAATCTAATAGTAAAAAGACCTAAATATTGAATTAAATAGTACATATTCCAATACTGTATATCTTTTTATGATTTCATATTTCCTCAACATGATTTTCTTTAGCTTAAAGAAATAATTAATATCAGTATCAAGTGTCGTTGGCATTGATTGGATTTCATCAATAATACTTATACTAAATGCATAATGATATGCCATCAATTAAACTTACCCCCTCCACAAGTCTTGGAACACTCAGAAAATCCATTGATCTTCCAGGAATATGTGACCTCATTTGATAATTGCCTTTCATCATTCACACTCCCTCCCACTAGAGGTGCAGGTCCCATGATGTAATTGGGGTCATACCTTGCTTGTAATGGGTTCACATTCTCAGGTTTGATGGGTGGCTCTTTTAGACCATCATAGTGACCCTCTCCCCTGGGTTCTCCCAGACTCTGCCCCTGGGTGAGATAACCCTGGTAGTTGGGGTCAATTAAAGGAACAGGGCCCACAGGACGTGGCTTGTGCTGAATCCTTTGACCCCCTGCTGTGTTGTGACTTGTCTGGTCCTTCTTCAGGTGGTAGTATCCATCAGGCTCGTATTGACCCCCAGGCTGTTTTGGTTCTTCCCTATATTTAGGACTTAAGTCTGTTATCCTCAGTTGGGACTTCAATGGGTTTCCTACAGGGTGTGGATTCCTATTAACCTCCTTAGCTGGACGTCTGTAGTTAGTATAAGGTTTCCGTACTTGTTGAGAGTTAGAACTCTGTCTGTGTGGGTTCTGTCTGTACTGACTGAATGGGTCAGAAACAGGTGTTTGGGATCTAGCATTGTGTGGTTGGGATCTTGTATTGTGTGGTTGGGATCTAGTATTGTGTTGTTGGGATCTAGTATTATGAGGAAATCTGTCGTTATGTTGTAACCTGGTATTCTGTTGTAATCTTGTGTTGGATTGTGATCTTCTATTGTGTTGCTGATACCTTGAGTCTTGTTTATCAACAAAATGGTGGTGCCCATATTGAATACCACCAGGCTCATACTCTCTCCCTTCCCTATCATATTTCACAGTGTATACTTCATCCTGATTCTCTGTGTCATCTAACCTTTCTCCTGCGATAGGCAACCTCTTCTCATTTTGCCTATTAGCTGCCTGTGGATTGTTTGTGTTAATGCCCCTATTGTTGGGAATAAATTCATTGTTAGTTGGAATTTTCTCATATTGGCCTGTTCGGGAATTGTAGCCATATGTGTAACTTATTTGTTTCTTTGCGGACACTTGACTGTTTCTTAAAGGGACTTGGCCATTTGACAAGGGTGTTTGGCCATTAGTTAAGGGCACCTGATGATTTCTCAAAGGTGTTCTATGACTATTTCTCATGGATGTATGACTGTCTTGTCTCCCTGGCAACTGACCATTAAACAAAGGAGAATCACCATTATTTGAAGGCACTTGTCCATTGAGCCTTCGGCTGTTAGTATGAGGGCCCTGAGCGAAACCAATTGCTGGGTCAAGGCCATGGTTAGACTTATGTAACTGTAACATTCTTGCAATGTCATCAGTTGAACTCAATGTTCTATCATATGGCTTCTCACCATAGTAACTGCTATATCGAGGGTTCACATTTGCACTTTGTGGATGTGTGGGGCCATTAGCTTGACCATAACGCGGAGGTTGCACTCCTTGTGACCCCTTAGCTTGACCATAACGTGGAGGTTGCACTCCTTGAGACCCCTTAGCTTGACCATAACGTGGAGGTTGCACTCCTTGAGACCCCTTGGCTCGACCATAAAATGAGGACTGTCCCTGTTGTTTGGTACTATCTAATCTATCAGTGTTTAATGTTTTTAAATCTGGCTTAGATTGCGCAAGATTGTGTGTATATCGAGTTCCCTTTCGAATACTCTCATAATTCTGTTGATTTTGACTCAAGCTATTTAACTTGGTGCCTTGATGGGGAATATGCTTTGTATTCAAAGTCTTCTTTTTAATGTTCTGCCGATGGCGTAGTCGGGCATTGTGGTTGCCATGGTGCTTTGATGAGGACTTTGCCATGTCTTTCATAACATCCATGACAAGGGCCATCTTGTCTTTCTTGATGCTGAATGCGTAGATGATCCCAGGGTTGCTTTTCATGAACAGCACCTGCAAGCATATACAAATATAAAATGTCTCATAATAGAGCTTTCAAATGGTCTCTTCAGGAGAAATCACTTTCAAATGATATATCATTTCATGGTCATGAAGAGCATAACTAGATTAGGTTGGAACAGCTGGTGAAGAGGAAAGGATGAACATAATTTTATTCATACAGCTTACAATTTGTATCCTAAAGACAAATAAGTACCGTATGTATACCTTTCAATTGATACAGCATTCTGAGCATTTTATTAACACAGAAAGTATCTTTTTAAATAAATAAATTAATTCTCAACAAGTTGTTTAGTTATAAATCTGTCATTTACATGAATTTTTACGGAAGCATTTGGTATGTTCACCTCAGCTCTGTCCTCAAAATCTTTGACGTAAATCAGAACAACTTAAATACATATGTCCAAACACTGGTGTAGGTGGGCTTAAATAGATTTGACGCATGATAAAAAACAATGAAAGTGACGTCTGAATATTCTAATGTTGTAGAAGGTTTGGTATCTACGACAATTTGCCCTTGAGATATATAAATTTGTCATTTTGATGTCAAAAACATGGGAGATGTTGTAAAGGGTGAAAAGGGATGTATCAAACTGTTTTATTCAATTAGATTTAACTTGTCATGTTCACTATTGTTTCAAAACTAAGAAGTCATGTCCTCAGTGTGAGAGAGCCTGCGAATAAAATATCAAAGTGAATAGACTGTAAATTCAAAATAAGCAAGAAAAGAGTGAGAATTGTAAGAAATTAAACAAATAGACATGTTGGCCATCCATCAAACTGCACAGATATGTAAGAAAATTCAAGCCTATTTGTTAAAATATAAGAGAGGACGAGTTTAAAATAGCACGAATATGGGTAACCTTAATTTTGAGTACAATTACAATATCTGTCAAAGTTAACAACAAATTGAAATTAAATTAAAAGCTGGATTTAACCGGCAGTGAAAATGTGACAAAATGGTGACAAGTGTCCATGGTAACTTCACAAATACAAATCACCTATAAGATTTGCCTATTCTTGAAACTGTTAAATGTTAATTTGAATTTTCCAAATCTGTTTGAAGGCTGTCATTTGATCTATCATATAATTCAAATGTCGCAAATAAAATGCCAATTAATGCTTATAACCTGTCTAATATCCAATAAATGTATTTTTTTACATTTGTATATGAGATTAGACTTTTGTACCACTGTCAAAGAAATCTAAACATTCTTGTATACATGTATATGTCTTCTTGTTCATACACTTGTCAAGCTATCACAGTACAAAGAATGGAACTCTTGAAGGGAACTGACCAAAGAAATTTTGTTCCACCTAAAACATGTCTACATGTAAAATACCCTTGTCATGTCACTGGCTAACATAGTACAGAGAGTTCCTTTGAGGGAAGTTTAATGATCCATACTTCAGTGAAAGTAGGTCACATTGTCTCAAAATCTAGAATGATAAATGATTTTAGACATAATGTTTTACTTTTTCATGCTTCGTCGGTTTAATGAACTCAAATTATGGCAGATGCTATTTTTCAGTAGATATACTACAAATAACAATGGGAATGATTTCTGCTATTAAAAAATACTAAATATGGAAAATTTCAGTTGAAATTTTCATTAGGTATTAATGATTCTCCACACATCTTGATCACTATAAATCTCCCGAAGACTACTGTATAGAATATAGTCCAGAGTAGGGATACTAGCGGTTACCGTTGGTTATTTGGTTTTCTGTATAAAAAAGCTTTTCTCCTTTTCTGTCCCGTCGCAGCGCCATCTAGTGTTTGATAAATGAATCAAGGTTTATTTTCGATAGGGTAAGTACTAATCTATCAGGAAACATTTACAAGTTTGGTTAGAAACAGAATTTTTATAGATGGCGGAGTGATTTTTGAGACTATGTAGAGCAGAATAATTTTCTGAAACAGGTAGCTTTACGGTGGTAGCTCTCTCCAGATTCAGTTATCTCAAAAACGGTGTGGTCACCGTATGCTTATTTTGTAACGGCAAGCTAGACAAGACTCCAATGAACACTGGGCACTGTTTCGCTGAGCTAGATCTGTGCCCATGAATATATTATGAAATGAAACGTTATAATGGTCGTCAATGGGATTTTTTACTGCAATCTTGACCCTATTAGCAACAGGGTGGTGACAGTACTAGGGTGGGAAATAGCGTTATTTTTGTAAAAATTACACTTTCTTAGCAATGTGTACCTTGCATCTCTAAGAAAAATCAAATCATCCGAAGAATTAGCAATTTAGATTTTTCCTGATTCAGCATTTTTCATTTTTTACCTAAAAATCACAGGTTTTGACCATTTTTGGCCTGTATTTTGTTACAGGATAGCACAAGAGGGCTGTTAGTGCTGGTTTTAAGAGGTTGTTGACAGGCTTTTATCAAATTATTACCGAATTTAAGGATTCAGCCATTATCATAGCATGTAATACAGCTTTTTCCTTTGTGTCTGAATTTTTCTTGAAAATATATGACAAAATTGACACATTTAACCCCATAGACTGACCAAATATGGCTGAAAACAGTTACTAACATGCATGTAATTAAAACAAGAACATCGCTTTGCAAAACTGATATGATAATTTAATATAGAAGCTCATTTACTGAAAATTAATCACTAAATAATGCCTAATTTGGGGTAATCTCTGACCGAAAATGAGTAGATCTGACCATTTTTTTGTTTCATGGTTCAGTGATTTTGGCAATAAACATTATGGAAGTACGAATAAACGTTTTGACATGCTAAATATTGTGAATTTTTGTTAAGCCATAGCGAGTAGCAGTATTTCTATTGCAAAAATGGTCAGTTATGTATAAAACTGCATGGCCCTAAAATAAATGACCCCGGGGTTAACAAAGCAGCTATAAAAGCTCTTCTATTGGTGCGATTGGGCTTAAATTGCACAAAAAGTCTTGAAACACTCTAATGTTTAAGAAAAACAAGATTTCTGGCACAAAATCATTCAACCGTGTCACTATTAGAATATAGTCCAGAGTAGGGATACTAGCGGTTACCGTTGGTTATTTGGTTTTCTGTATAAAAAAGCTTTTCTCCTTTTCTGTCCCGTCGCAGCGCCATCTAGTGTTTGATAAATGAATCAAGGTTTATTTTCGATAGGGTAAGTACTAATCTATCAGGAAACATTTACAAGTTTGGTTAGAAACAGAATTTTTATAGATGGCGGAGTGATTTTTGAGACTATGTAGAGCAGAATAATTTTCTGAAACAGGTAGCTTTACGGTGGTAGCTCTCTCCAGATTCAGTTATCTCAAAAACGGTGTGGTCACCGTATGCTTATTTTGTAACGGCAAGCTAGACAAGACTCCAATGAACACTGGGCACTGTTTCGCTGAGCTAGATCTGTGCCCATGAATATATTATGAAATGAAACGTTATAATGGTCGTCAATGGGATTTTTTACTGCAATCTTGACCCATAGATAATTTGGGAGACCTTACACAGGCAATTTATGGAAGACCCAATCAATTATTTTTGGACTTACTTGTAGAGATATTGTTTGGTTCAGTGGCCCATCAGCAATAATGCGTTCACCATGTGTCGCATTGGAGCGTGTGTATTTGAAAGTAGTTCCGGCAGCTGGAAAATTCCCGGAGCCTCCTACAGTCCAATGGCCATTGAAGATGAACTTAGTGCCTTTGAGTGGCTTTAAAGCTAAAATAAAAAGTGTGTGTGCCTTTAAATAGATTTAAAACTGAAATAAACAAAATAAGTGCCTTTAAGTTGCTTTAAAGTTAAAGCGTCCATATTCTGTCTATATTTAATGTTCATTGTTAAAAAATTTAATCAAAAGTGATGAGACACCTACAGAAGTCAAAATTCGAACAATTTCAATATTGTCACATGACTAAGTTCTTTGCACAAATTTTCAATTTTATCTCTAGCGTACATACCCAAATAATTCTCACTGGGCCTGACCTCTGTAATATTAATACTACATGCCCCTTTAGGTATTTTAACAATCTCATTGTAGCCATGTTTCAGTCTTGGGTTTGCATATATTCCCGAGATGGTCTGACATTTTCCACCATTTCCACCACAAATACCACATTCATCCCGAACTTTCTTCCCACCAACAACCTTGTCACAGCCAACTCTCTGGAAATACAGATTTTTGCATGTATTAGAGATTGTCCAAAAGTATTAAGTCAGGCCTGAAGCCAACCTTTGCCAAGGAGGGTTCAGTTTTTAAAAAATTCCAAGGGGGGTTCACACATAATGTTGGCCCAAAATCACTCAAAATGTGCTCAAAAATAGTGAAAAAACGGCATGATTTTGAAATAATTTTAGCCCCCCCCCCAACCCTGGCTACAGGCTTGACAGTAAGATACATTGTAAATTAATTTTGGACTTATTCCCCTTGTTCTCCTTTAAGAAAATTGAAAATGATACTTAAATCTTCTGCAGATAAAATCATGCATACTATGCAGCATGTTAAAAAACTAAAAAAAAGTAAATGTCAACTTCAACAAGTGTAGAAAATCAAAATATTTCAAACTGACACTGTCATTTACAAAAATGTTTCTATATAGTATTCTTATTCTTAATTATGAGTTTTGAGATGTTTAATTACAGTGTATGAATGTTCATTTTTTCATGTCAAATATCCTGTAAAATAATTTTGTTTGTACTATTTTCTACAACTGTATTATACATTGCATGATTTATTAGTCTATATAAACAATTCTGCATGCCAATTTTTAGTCTGATAAATTGCTGGCACTTGCCAAAATGAACAATATTACATTAGTAGCAGTCAATGGAAGACTCCATTTTACACTGATTGAACCTAAAACTATTCTCAAAATAGACTGATTTAATTATACATTTACAACTTTAATTAATAAGTAAATGATTTGGCAATGAATTAACAAATTTGGTGAAACGCATGAGAAATCCACATCTTTGTATTCTCATGTTCTAGTGAATGGAGCTACTGAAGATGAGATTGATCTAGGCATGATTAAAGCTAAAAGAGAAAACGTGTTATAAGCCATGCTTTACATGAACTTAAGTATAGGCACATATCTTCTTATATCTGTCTGCATTAAACAATTTACGATACTTAAAAAACAGCACTATGCTTTCAATTGAATTAAACTCATTTTTCATGATGTATGAAAGGTTGAAGTGTCAATGTGGGTTTTTCTATATAGAACCAAGCTTTAGAGAATATCTTCCCAAAGATACCACAATTATAATCATAATTCACGAGAAATAATGAGAAACTGATAACACACAGAGGATAAATTCTTATAACAGTTTTATATTTTCCAAATTGCGTTCTGCTTAGGTTTTATTCCTCAGGGGGTCAAAATATTTTTAATGATGGTTGTATGAAATAATTTGAAAGGAACCTTTGATTTATTGCTTGGATTAAGGAGATCATGACAGGAAAGTTTAACATGGGAGGGTATGTCATTATATTGCGTTACTTAAAAGCACAAAATATGTCCTTTTTAGCAATATTTCAACTGAAGAGGAAACGCGAGGATGTCTTACTCATAGGCATACACAAAACGTATCTATAAGAATCACTGTGACTGTATTAAAATAACAGTGCATTTAGCTCTAGTGTTATAATAACAAATAATACAAATATTTCTCTAGAGAAAAATATACATTGTTCATTGTATCTCAAAATCTGATATAGATAACATGAGGCTTGAATTTTCTGAAATTTTGTTTAACAAATTTTTGATTAAGCTGAGATAACATTTTGGTAACATTTAACAAATCGATTCTTTCTTATGCTGGGTTAATCAATTCATTCCCCCTCCCTGCCAACTCTTTAAAATAACAATATACATAGGCAATAACACCCCTTTCATTGTTATTTTGCATGTGTGGCAAAATTCTTACAAGAGCAGACTAAAAACATGTAATTTACAGTGAAAACATATATAAAATGGGTGTGTTTGGCATTAGTGAAAAACAGCAGGCGAGTTTAACTTACGGGTGGTAAAATTTGCCACCCACCTCCTCCTAAGGACATTCAAGGGCTGATTATAACTTCCGGAGAGAGAAAAAATATGACAACATGATCTGCATTCATTCATGATCTTGACATCTCGAGTTATTTCAGGCTTAGTGAATGATATGCCAGAAACAATGCTGAAACATCCATAAACTTGCTAATAAGGTAGCATTGAAACTGTTTGAATTTTCTTTGTTTTTCATTGAATCAATTGTAATTGTTTAAGATAGTTCATTGGTCTGTTCAATACATGCTGAAGAAGCCCGATTATTATGCACAGAGCGTGCAAAATGCAAACGGTGATGTCATTTGAAAGATGAGCGGATTTTTAATTCTGAGAGCTTCACAATGCAGAATCGTGTCAGATCCTTTTACAAAACCACAAAAATGTTCTTTAGGCACTTCAAAAACTGAATTACCAAATCATCATTTCATCTATGAAAGAAGCATTCATATCATGCATTCAATAGAATGCAGCAATGGAAGTCTTACATTCCTATTATGCAGGGGCCAAAGATCAAACCTACCACTAGAGTTCTATATGAAAATTTTGTTGTGATTATTGTGTACAAATCATTATATTGAGAATTTTTTACTGGAAACACAAAAGCAATTGTTTAAATTTTTTTAAATTTGCTAACCCATGACCACATGGATTATACCCTGTGTGCGGAGTCTAGTTAAACTACAGAGGACAAAGCTCTCAAAGTCAAATGAATGCAAAGGGTACATGGATTAAAGGTATATGGTTCTTCCTTACAGAACCTGTCCACCCTAAACTCAAATTAAATACCAATTAAAATTCCTCATTTGCTTTACATTCTGCACTTTGTTAATACAGTTGACTTAAACCAATATCTATTTATTTATGTTTTTTTAACAGTTGAACTTACTTAAAAAACATGGTGTAATATATCTTTAAAGATAGACATTTAAAAAATGTTGAAATGAACTTCTTCAAGCTATTTAGTGTAAACACATATGTTATTATAAAATGAAAAAAGAAAACAAAATAAAGAATCAACATTTTGAGCATAAAATAACCATCAAACACTAGATACAGCTGACTCAATGCCTCATGAAAAACACTGATTAAATCTGATGTTTTAAGATTTCAAGGTTGTGACACTTGTGACGTTGAACTTGCTAATGATTCAAACAACAAATAGGGTGAACGACTGTCAATTACAAGAAAGATGCCTTTGAGATATAATAACAATTCTTTAGAAATATCCATTTGAGATGTAAAAAACTTCATTTTTTCTCTATTTTGTCATTGAATTACACTTCAAAATCATTAATAATCCTACTTTCTCCTCAATTCAAAGTAAATTAATAACAATTACTCTAGTTTGGTATCCTTTTGAAATAAGATACAAATGTATTTGTCCTTATCTTAGTACCCCTGGGGTCAATATAGACCTATTAAAAGATACCAAACAAAAGCTGAAAAAATCTGTGTTTCTTTGAACCAAAGGTAACTGCTCAAGGGCAATTAGAACTCAATATACACACCCCTTCATAAGTTTGGGAACCAGTTCTCAGTGGATAGCGTGTTAAATCCTCATTTTGTTAAAATCTTCTCTATTGTGTCAAAATGGCTACCATTTTGAAACGAGGCGAGCTTTTGAGATGCCACTTGTGGAACAAATGATGACTTTATATACAATCAGACACATTTTAAAAGTGAACCCATTTAAATTGTTGTTTTGACAGACAGACAGATGGACAGTTAGATAGAATGTAAGATCGGGATGGATGGATGGAAGGACAGACAGTGGATGATTGCAATAGCTCACAATATGCAAGCTAAAAATCACCATAAAATATGATGACTTTGATTTCCTTTTGAAGGGTAGTGTATGTAGGTGCTTTCTTTTTTGATTTCAAACACAATATTGTACACCATTTAATTATCTACCAAAAAAATCTCAACCATCACTACCAATTACTCTCTGTTTTGCCATTTAGATAAGGTGTTAAAAACAGGAGAATCAAGTTTCAGGATTTCAATATTCACACTGAATTCAGGCGTGTTTCAAGATTGTGAGATAAGTACATTGATATATAATTGATAACCCCTACTACTTGGGCCAATTCACTTAAAATTGACTCATGTTTGAACAATGATTTCACAAAAAAAATCTTAAGCAATCTTAATTACTTAAGAATTATTTTATAAAAGATGACTTCAAGTGATCAGTATAATGAAGGAAGATGCTGCTTTTTTATCATTTTAATTTGATAGACCACATTGATCAATATACTGTCTAATTTTAACTACTTATTTTTATCTGAGCAGTGATATATAAAAGATACTTCCAATGTATCAATGTTATACAGATGTCATGTCATATTTCATCATTTGGATTCACTGGAGGATGGAGGGAGAGGGGGAATCGTTATTTCCAAAACAAACCCTTTTCTAATTGGCCAAATTGGCCCCAATAAGGATTTCAAATACTTTTGGGGGCCACTCCCTTGTGTGTTCCCAGATCCATCCCTGGAATTTAATAAAGTATCGGAGACAACTTTTTAGTGATATATAAATGGCACCCAGAACAACATTTCAATAAGAGAGACACCAGTGCCACAATGTCTGTTAACAACAACTAAGTGACAAACTCTAATTTTATCACACAAAATGATTGAAACTTAATTTGTGATGCTGAAAGACTGATTGATATATGAGATGTGTGATTCAACATGGCACAAAACTTTCATTTTTGATGTGTTCTCACATAAATAAACCCTGATTTCAATAAGTTATAGGGACATTTTTGGGTAAATGCAATACTGTATATAGTTTTCGAAGATCATAATTTTATCCGTTAAAATACAAGTAAAATGTGACTTCATCAAACAGAGGTTGTCACAATATATCCTTACGAATGAATAAATACTTTTACAAAAATAAAATACGAGCTCAGAGTGACTCAGTTTTGATGAAATATTTGTTGATTGTTGAAAACATTTGAACTATCATGGGTCTCTAAATGCCACCATGTCTGTCATCAGTATGTAACTGTAAAGTCTCCTCCAAAATCAACCCTTCCAAATGTTACATAAATCTCAATGATTTTAATCTCGGTTACTAGTGTTTCTATCCAATTAAGCTTAT